CAAGGACTTATAAGACTATTCTTAGCCTGTTATTCAAGAATCTTTCCTCAGAATGGATGATGAATGGAAGCGAGATTGGATTGACGTATAGAAACTACAACTACAGATTTGATCCCTTTCTCTTAGGGAATCTCGACTAGACGAGGGAGATATAAAGGTAACGTTGACGCTACGAAAAAGAAAGTCATTGCATAAGTAATGAATGAGCTAATTTCTTATTAGAAGCCTATTTGACTAGACAGGTCTCTTTTACCGGGGGGTTCCCACAGAGAAGTCTTGCTCTGGCTTGCCAAAAGCGTTTAATATTGAGAATGTTGGATGTATTACACACTGGTGGAATTGCGTAAGTAATAAGGCTTTTATATATATATATATATATATATATATATATAACGAACGGAGTGGAGAGAAAGAAAAAGAACATAAGAGAACACATTCCAAATAGATGACGATAACTTTGCCATGAAAATCAGAATCCTGAATTTTACATGCTAATAGCTCCTTTTATTTGGTGAAAGGAGCTATTAGTTAAATGCATAAACAGCATAGATGAAAGCAAGTCAAAGCCAGGTATATGTGGAGGAAAAAATGAAGGGAGAAAAGGAGACAATCATGATAAGAGGTGGAAGGGACAGAAACTGCAGAGGCAAATAGAAATAAGACGAATGTAAATGGTCTTCTACAGACTAATTTGTGTATCAGAAAGGCTGCCTCCGACACCAAATAAATGAGCAACAATGTTAAGGGCTGCAAGGATCTGAATTACTGAACCATGCTTATTAGTACTTTGCTTGGTGCTCAATAGCAAATACTTGGCATTTTCACTGGTAGACCAACCACATCCTTGCAGGATTAGGAGCGAAACTCTAGATGAATCAAGGTATCATCTAGTACCCTTCACCAGCTTTATATTAGAATGATGAAATTACTGATCTATCAAAAATATCATCTATCGTCCTCTCAGGCTCAAGCTAACATCTTAAGGTATTTCTGAGACTTACTATAACCAACCTTGCTAGTTATGATTAGATAGTATTGGAGTTGCATTCATCATAAAACTTCGACAAATGAGTGCTTTCCCTGAAGTCGCAATCTAATAATCGTAGATGTCAATCATTAAAGCCTACCAGTTCTATGTTTATAGTAAAAACTGTATGACATCAGCATGCAATAATGAAACAGGAGTCATAATTAAAGTGAGAATGTCCAATTTTCAACAACTCAAGCTTTCGAAGCATACAATACCAATAAATTGAATATGAGTTTGCCAACAAGTTTCTCAGAATCTTCACTTTCTGAATGTTAAGTCGCAAAACATAAGATATAGAAGCACACAGAAAATATCAAATAGTGGAAAAACTAAAACAAATCCTGTTAGAACAGTAATTTTGCTTTTAATTACATAAATATAAATACTTACAGTACAAGACAACAGAACTCCGTGCTAAAGGCAACCCTAAAGGTTTCAAAGTAGTGAAAATTAAGATATCTTCTTAATCATATTTCAGAATCATCACAGCTTATTAGATGACATTTGGTTGCTGTATTTCATATTAACTTCAGGAATCTCTGTGGGTAAACTCCACCAGGTCCCAGAGTCAGTAGCCCCAGCTCTTCTCCGATGCATAATCACAAATGCTATCAGAAGCAAGAAGACAGCAGCTAGCATAGGATAAAAGCTACCATTTCCCTTCTTCCAACTCTTCAAGACAGAATGAGCACAAATCTCACCATCAAAACTACCCACAGAATTATTAATCTTCATGATCTCAACCCCATTCAGAATGGCATCGACAGCACGTGGCAGACTCATATTCGATGGCCCAACGCTCAATGTCAAAACACCAGAACTATCTCCATCAACTACAACATCAGCATAGAAAGGGGAAGCCAGCATCCCATTCGTAACTGACGTAAGATCCAAGTTTTTGTAGGCCAAATTGTCGTTCACATACACATCAAAAAATAGCATCCCACGCGCAATACTAGCTATATCACAGAAGTGCATCCTAACCAAGTACTTGTACCCTCCAATCACCGGAAATGTCCATGTCATATTCAACTCAGAGACTGAATCACCTGAACTCCTAATAACTCGAGCAGAATTATAAACATTATCAGGACCAACCTCTCTACTTGCCCCACCATCTTGATAGTTTATACGGCCACCAAAATGAACCTTTGAAGACCCATCCTTAGACTTAAGATACTCATCATCAGTAACCCAAGTTCTCCACAATGAATCATTAAAAGGGGTAACTTTCCAACCACCAACATTAACCCTATACACAGTTTCAAACCCATTCTTCAATAGTCCATGAATTTGCTCATTTTTATCAAAACTGACATACTGAGCTACGTCAGCAATCAAATCATTAGGAGCAGAAATAACCTCAATCCCATTTACAAATGCAAATTTTGACTTATCAATAGGCACAAAGCTGATAACAAGCACATCCGAATCTACCCCAATCACATAATCCTTTACTATCTCAATATCCTGACCCATTTCTATACTTAAACTGTTAAATAACACAAACCCATTTGCCAAGACATGAAATTTAGCATTATTAAAATCGAGACTACTACTAATTAATCGCCGGAAATGGAGACGTAGCAAGTGAGTACCAGGATTCTTGATGAGGAACTTGTACTTAGAGGGGCGCGTGAAAACACGAGCGGTATGGTAAATTGGGGAAGACTTAGGACTTCGGTTTGCGTCAGTGAGTGAAATCGTTCCAGTGGAGGCAAGAAACGACATCGTTGAGTCGCCGGAGAAGTGGCGGTGGTCAGAGTCAACGGTTTTAGGTTCATGGGACCCACAGTTTATGAGGTAGTGATCGATGGGGGAAAAAGAGGCTGCGATAAGGTGGAAGCAGAGGAATGTGAAGGAGAAGTACAGGGCTAAGGTGGAAAAGAGAGTCGCCATTGTAATTGGACAAAGATCAAAGTGAAGCTATGAAGAGAAGGTTAAAGATGGTGTTTGATGATCACAGTTGGGGGGTGGGGGAGGGATGTATAAACGTGTGGGACCAATGAGATGTTGGAGGGTGGAACATTCGCTGGTGAGTTTGTCTGTAAACGTGTGGGTCCATCAAATGAGGGCAGGGTCAAACCATAAAACCTTATATTCCAGTTTACAGCATGCAAAACTTTTCATATTTCATCTCTCGTATGCACCGGAGAAGATAATGTATGAATTAATTTTTTGGTATTATTAATTCTTTATTTGATACTCCCTCCGGTCATTTTTATTCGGCACGTCTTGACTTTTCACGCCCTTAAGAAATAATAAATAAAGTGTGTATGGGTCCAAATTTGGCAACCACGACCATTGCCGAGTAGGACAAGGAACGAGGTTATCATGACGACCTCGTCTGATGGTCGTCGTGGTGAAAGGCGATGACTAAGGGCGGTCAGTCGAGGCATGACATACACGGCAGTGTAAACTTAGTGGGAGACAGTAAGAATATGCCTTTCGAATATTCTCTATATTGTACTTTTTAGGGGTTTTTGAGAAATTGTCCCTTATAAATAGGAAGAGTGAGTAAAGAAAAGGGGCACGGGAGAAAAAAGACAAAATAACACTTTGTAAATGAATCATCTAAGAGTGAATACAAAAGAAGTCTTGTTCATCTGAGAAGATCCAAAGATTCCCCAATCATCTCATACTCATTCTTCTGGTAAAGGGTCAAAATCAGTCCACAAATGGCTTACTTCTTCAAATTAGATCCATTCCATCAGTCGCATCTGCCCTGTCTCAATCGGTCGAGGTATTGATGCCTACTTCGCCGATCTGAACCACTTCGAGTCTAATCAACAACATCTCCATGGATAGTAAGAATTCCTACATCTCTTGGCATCTTGATCTTTTGTCGTAACGAAGAAGGAAGAGCACCACCCCTAACGCCGATTACATCTAGTAAGATTGAGTGTGCATTTAAGTCTTCACATTAATGAGCATTTATTTGATTCCTACATATTTGCTACATCATTCATCTTGCTTACTCATTCCATCACATGATCTAGATTTTATTGTGCTTAACTAAGATTGACCTCATCATTATCATTAGTTGTTTTAATCATAAAGGTTTTACATCTTTTAGTCAAACAATTTGGCACCGTCTGTGGGGATATCTTTAGTTTAGATTTCAGTTTCCTCTAGATCATAGAAAGGGATAGTCACCTCTTCCTAGCTTTGCACAAACTAACAATGGCAGGAAAAGGAGATGCAAGGCTAAAAGCAATAGTAGGTGTCACAACCAACATCCTGAACACCATCAACGAAGACAGCAGGGAAAATAACAAAAACGGGACACCAAACACCACACTCAGGGGAGACACTTCACCTCCCCCGCACGGAGCGTAACTGCTTCGCGCGAGAAGGAAGCCTCCACATCTATAACAGGAGAGGCACCACCGGAAGTAAGAAGACTACTGGAAGAGTGGCTAACAAGTACTCTGAACAACATACTTGATAAACCCGCCCAAATGGATAATAGAGACATTCCACATGTAGATGTCACGGCGATCGCTGACGAGCGAGATGTCCCCCGCACAGGTAACACTCATATTGTTGTTGACACAGGTAATGACACGCTCGCAGCCGTTTTAAGGAAAATGGAGGAGATGGAAAATGAGAATAAGGCACTCTGTGACCAGATGAAGGAACACAAAGAGAGGGTTGACAAAATACCAAGCGCCCCAAAGTTGTTGCCAAAATGGGACGTTAGTCGATTCATCGAGCAACCATACAATAAGGAAGCACCCCCCTACGCCATTCCAAAGACCTTCAAAATGCACCATACCTGAAGATATATGACGGTACTACCGATCCAGAAGATCATATCTTCCACTACGTCACAGTCGTAAAAGGTAACAATCTTTCGAAAGAACAGGTACCATCGGTGCTACTGAAAAAGTTCGACGAAACCCTAACAGGGGGAACCCTGACCTGGTACTCACAACTACCGGCACGTTCGATAGCAACGTTCGAAGAAATGGCGAACAAGTTTGTCACCGCTCATGCAGGAACCAAAAAGGCGGAAGCCAGAGTAAATGACATATTTTTCGTCAGGCAAATGCACGACGAGGGACTCAGGGACTTCTTAGCTCGGTTTAACAAGGTGAGAATGAGCTTGCCAAATGTGTCAAAAGGAATGGCGATAGCATCCTTCCATAACGGATTAAACAGGAATGGGTCGAGAGCGACCAGAAAATTGTTAAGCAGACTCATGAAATACCCTCCAACCACTTGGAAAGAAATCCACAACGCCTACTACGCCGAGGTAAGAGTCAACGAGGACAACCTCAATGGTCTGATCCAACGGTTGACGTCAGTTCAAACTGAAGCAAGAAAAGATCGTCACAACGACGGTCGAAGAGATTAGTTGGCGCCCCGTCTCGGTCGAAAAAGGCATCAGCCCTACATCAGGACATCTATCCCACCTCCCCCGCGGCACACGGATGCTCCTTCTCGACATGCAACGCCACATCGACACGAAAAAGGTATGCCTCCACTCCTATCTGCTCACAATTTTTGTGTCTCCCCTTCAGAAATAGTGTGCGCACTAGAGAAACTCGGTACAAAGGTACAATGGCCGCAAAAGATGAACTCCGACCCAAGCACTTGGAAGTCGAACGCTCTCTGCGAATTTCACCAGGAAAGGGGTCATAAAATAGAAGATTGCATAGGACTGCGGCAGGAGGTAGTGAGAATGCTAAATCAAGGACACCTTAAAGAATTGCTAAGCGATCGAGGACGGGCTAACTTTGCCCGCGGACGCGAACAACCCCAGGGACCTCCGAAACCGCCCTCTCCCGCTCGCACTATACAGATGATCATCGGCGGAGGCGATGACACAACAATCAACCATATAAAATTCACCACCACACATAGACTCAAACGATCGATCACTCATGAACGGTATGATGACCTCGAAGATAGTATCATCTTCCATAAATCAGATACCGACGGTTTGTCTTTCCCTCACTACGATGCTCTTGTTATCACGTTACGTATTGCAGATACTGATGTAAATAGAATAATGGTAGATGAGGGGAGTGGCGCATGTATTATCCATCCTCGAGTCCTCGTACAGATGGAACTTGAAGATAAAAAAATACCGCCTTGCATAACACTAACAGGTTTTAATAATGCAGTCGAGCGAACATCTGGAGAGATAGTGCTACCCGTCCTAGCCGGAGGAGTCACCCTGAAAATGACATTTCACATCATTGATCAAGATACAACCTACAACGCTATCATAGGGCGCCCGTGGATACACGCCATGCGATCAGTCCCGTCCAGTCTCTATCAAGTAATCAAGTTTCCTATTCCATGGGGGATATTCAGCATCCAGGGCGAACAACACACCGCACAGGAACGCTATCGCCTCGCCAAGGATTACGCACAAACCCAACAACTAAAAGGAGCAAGTGCAGAAGCATAGCAATCAGCGATGTCGGGAACCAAACTTGACGTACGGACAGATGTTATCAAGGACCCCTGATGTTCTAAACGTCAATACTACACAAGAAGGGGGGTGATTTGTGTGGTACCTAATTTTCGCACTAGAAGAACCCGGTTCTTCTAGATGTGCTTACTATGACTGTTTGCGGAATTAAGAGTGCATAAAATAAAGAACACAGAGATTTTTACGTGGAAAACACCTGGCTCAAAAGGTGAAAAAACCACGACCTACTACTCAGTAGGATTTTCCCAAACTTCCACTAAAATCGCTGAGCCAAAAATAGCATTTACAAACTCTTGTAAACCTAAGGAGTAAACTCTAATCCCAGTGTGGCACACAGCCTCAACTGCTGCGACACTTTCAAGTTAACTCTAACTTGAATACTCAATATATCTATTACAATTGCTTCTAGATAAAGCTGAAAGGTACAATATGAAAACACCTACTACAATTGAACTAGAAATAAAGAAAAACACAATGGAATTGGTTCTTCACTCTTGGTTCATGTAGCTTCAGATTTGCACACTTGAATCACACATAAATTGCTTGCAAAATTCGCCTAGCTCTTTTGCTCTCAATTTAGTTTAACTTCTGCGTATGTGCAATCCCGTGTAAAAGAGAACAATCTTTATTATTTATAGAGTTAGTAATCAGAGTTTGATTAAAACTCGAATTGCTGATCCTTCATCAAATTCGAGTCCTAGAACAACACAAACTCCAATCCTTGATCTGGATGTAGTTCTCTTTACATAAGGAGACTTTAACTCCTTATCCTATGCAACCTTTTCGATCAACTCTGAAGATATTGTTACTGATTGTTGCTGACCCTTGAGACTTACCTTGACACGTTTGTCACATGAATAAATATATCAACACTGTGTATGTCTCACATGATGGACCTGGTTCATGGTTGAGTTCATTTTGTCAATCTTCAAAACTTTATCTGAACTTGGGCCAACAAATTCCCCCTTTTTGATGATGACAAACTCTGTGCTTTACTGATCAGAGACCCTATTGAACTCAGCTTAATTTTCACACTTTAATTTAACTTATCATTAAGGACCAGGTTTAATCAGGTTATAAATATCACTTTATTTCAGAATACAAAGTAAAACACAATATCTCTTCCCCCTTTTGGCATCATTGAAAAGTTGCATATTATATGAATCCCAGATGTTAATTAATACTCATGGCCACTGGGGCAACTGCAAGTGAAAACATGATATAGTTAATCAATAATCAACTTCAAAAAATTTAACTATTTAGATCAGAAGTATCATATAACAAGAGAAAACAAAGCATATTTTCATTGATTAGGGAGTGTTTCCACATAACAGACCACAAAAGGAAAAACAAACCATGAGCAAAAAAATAAAAGTCCCGAATCTGGGTCACTGAGGGGGTTTCTAAACTGGTTCTAAGGCTTGGAGGAACTAGAGAGTTGGGATTGAAGAAGATTTAGCATTGTTTGGAGCATCCCTTCACTCTTTTCCTTTTCTTTTGCTAGCTCATCTTTGAGGCCATTTCTTTCACTTTCCAGTTTAGCAATGCGAGCGTGGATCCTAGCAATTTCTGCATCTTTTGTGCCACATTCTAGAACCAATGCCCTAACTGTTCACAGGAGTCTTCACGGATGAACCAGGTTCAACTAGGGTTACACTTAGCAGATAGAGTTTTGATTCCAAAGTGCTCTTTGCTGGAGGCCATCTCCCACTTTTTCAATGGCACATCTAACTTGTCCAAGACAGTTGTCAGTATAAACCCATAAGGTGTGGCATGGGCCTTAGAGCAATTGATGACTCTATCCAGTAGCTTGACAATGAAAGCAGGCCAATTAATCTGCTTTCCTCTCACAAGACACTCCAGAAGGACCAAGTCCATGTAGTTAGCAGTATGCCTCCTCTCCTGTCTGGGCAGCAAACACTTGTTCACAAACTCAAAAAGTACCTTGTGCTCAGGCTTCATTTCACTCTTTTGGACAAATCTAGCCTCAGGCACTTCTTCAGCAGACTTGGTATCACAGAAATTCCGAGTGATTTGGAGAGCAGAAGGAAGAGAATCTAGACAAGGCCACATTTTCCTAGTATAATCATCATATCCCTCATAGGGTATGTCTAGAATTCCTCCCAAGTTAGGTGCATCAAACTATACCTCTACTCCTCTCACCAAGCTTGTAACAACCCCATTCACCACTGTGGCATTTTCCATAAACTCTATCAGTTCTTTTCTTGCAAGTCTGCCATCCAGTTGAAGAACCATGTCCTTCCAACCCTGTGCTTCCAGTGCATCAACCAATCTTTTCATGCCTGGCTCCTCCAGGTCTTTCAGAATTCTTCCTTTCAATATTTTTCTTTTTCCAAAAAGGACAAACCTGTCCTGCTCTTTCTCAGACTCCTCTTCTTCTTCTTATTCTCCACTCCAAGCTTCTTCTTCTTCAGGAACTTTTGCTTGTTTTCCTTTAACTGCAGACCTGGTTCTTTTTGCCAGGGAGGGTTCAGCAGAGATAGATTCTGAAGACTTCTTGGTAGAAGGCTTGGATTTCTTAGGTTTAGGAGTGGGAATCTCCTCAGTTGTACCTCTCTCCTGATGGACCAGTTCCATCTCTTCCTCCTCTTCTTCTGCAGCCACAGAACTTTCCAGAACTTTAGCTTTTCCCTTTTCCTTGTTCTTTTTCTTGCTTGCCTCTAAGGCTTTCTGCAACTTAGCTTCACTTTGCTTTACCCTGCTTCTAGTAGCTTTCACCGTTGGTACTGAAGAGACAGTAGACTTAGGAGATGACACCTTGCTCTTGTTTGTTGGCTTAGAGGCAGTTGGAGCCTTTTGAGAAAAAGCTTTGCGCTTCTTGGGATCATAGCTTTCTCCAAATTTCTTCAGAATGTCAGCCAAGGTTTCTTCCACAGATGAACTAGGTGCATCTTGTTGTTCACTCAGGTGCACAAGACCTTCAGCAGCTTCCCCAGTTTCACTTCCCCCTGCCTTGTTGCCACTTTCCCCAACACCTCCACAAATTGCAAGAATTTCACCTTTCTTTTTCTTTCCCTTCCTCTTCGATTCTCCCTCACTTACATCTCTCACAGACCCCACTAACACAAACCTATCATCTACTTTCTCCACTACATCAGAAAAAACATAGCATGTATTTACCTCTTTAGGGGTTTCTTGATTCTTATCTGATTCAGAAGACCCACGTTCTTCTCCATCGCTTGCAGAGACAAAAGCTTCAGACTCGGAGCTTGAGTCAGATGATTCCTTTTCAAAGCTTTCCCTTCTTTGACTCGCTTTCAATTTTTCGTTGAGAGCTGTTCTCAGAGCACCAGTAGCTACAGTCTTTCTTGCCAACATTTTCTGCCGGCGGAATCTTGGTTTAGGGTTGTCGCTAGGAGGTACAGATGAAGATGTGTTAGGAGATGCTGGTGGGGGAGTTAATGGATTTTCTTGAGGGTTAGTCATGGCGGAGAATTTCTGGAGGATTTTTGGGAATTTTGGAGAATTTTGGAGAGATGGAGGATGATCAGGGGTTTAACACTTAATGACGGTTATGGAGTGAAGTAGGAATATGTGGAGTGTATTTAAAGTAGAGTATGATTAGGTGCAGTAATGGCAGTCTTTTGCAGTGGTCAATCAGGGGTCTAATCTCATTAGGACTCCGGTCTTTAAGAGGTAATTGATCGACGCTAGTTTTAAGGAGATAATCCCGTTTTATTTAGAATTCGAAGAGAATGAAACTGGTTCAATGCTCAACGGTTAGATTTTTAGGAGTTTGGTTAGGATAGGACTTCTGCTCATAATTGGAATATTTATTTTTCTAATTGTGCAAAGTATAGAAACATACCTGACCCTTTCTTATGAGCATATACTGATGAACCAGGTTCTGCACGTAGAACTTCTCTTGATTATGCCTCATATATCAGAATAGAAAAAAACTTTGTAAGAGATCAATGAATATCAACACACGTCACAGGAGTATACTGATTAGAGTATGAGACTGAGTAAGAATTAATCTAGATATTTACATAAAATCAGAACTTCTAACCAAAAATGTTTTTTTTTTCATTTTTTTTTCATTGCATTCTGAACTGGTTCCTTTTAGGTGATCTTAATCATCCCTAATTCCAACCTGTTCCTTTCAAAGTTTTCCCTATTCAGTGCTTTGGTGAAAATGTCAGCTATTTGTTTATCAGTAGCACAGAATTCTATTGAGATTAATCCTTTCTCATAATTATCTCTCAAGAAGTGGTGTCTAACATCTATGTGCTTGGTCCTTTTATGATGAACAGGGTTCTTTGTCATACTTATAGCACTAGTGCTATCACAAAATATTGGTATGCATCCCACTTCTATACCAAAATCTACTAATTGTTGTTTAATCCACAGTAGTTGAGCACAACAAGAAGCTGCAGCCACATACTCAGCTTCAGCAGTAGATAGGGCTACTGAATTTTGCTTCTTGGTAGCCCATGATACAAGACATGAGCCAAGGAAGTGTGCCATACCTGAGGTGCTTTTTCTATCCACTAGGAAACCTGCATAATCAGCATCAACATATCCTACTAGATTGAAATTACTACCTTTAGGGTACCAAAGACACAATTCAATAGTGCCCTTCAAATATCTCAATATCCTCTTGACAGCAGTCAAGTGAGACTCTTTTGGATTTGCCTGAAAACGAGCACATAGCCCTACACTAAAAACAATGTCAGGTCTACTGGCAGTAAGATACAAAAGTGAACCAATCATACCCCTATACAACTTCTGATCAACTGATGAACCAGGTTCATCAATATCTAATTTAGTGGCAGTTGCAATAGGTGTATCTATTTCTTTAGAATCCTCCATTTTAAACTTCCTGATTAGTTCTTTTGTATACTTCTGCTGGTGAATCATGGTTCCATTTTGACTTTGTTTGATCTGCAATCCTAAGAAGAAGTTAAGCTCACCCATCATGCTCATTTCAAATTCACTTCCCATTAGTTTTGCAA